TGTTCATTTCATACTTGTTACTTGATTGCTTCTTTATTTCAATAATCAGTTCATTATGATTACTAATGATTAGGAGATCCTCAACATAGAGAAGGACGAGAATCACAATAATGGTTTTTTAATTAAGTGGTAGAAATTAAGATTAGAGATGTTTTATATCTAGTTAATGCTTTTAAGATAATTATCATTTTCTTGGTACTATACCTAAGATGATTGCTTTGGTCTATAGATTAATTTGGATATAAGATACTCATCTCTTAGTTTAGCAAATCCAATTGGTTGTTGCATGTATATTTTTTCTTGAAGTATTTTGTTTAAGAAAAATATGACTACATCCATATAATTGATGCTTTAATCTATGGACACAATAAGTATAATCATGGTTCTAAGAATAGACCATCTTACTACCAAAACAAATGTATTACTTTAATCAATATGTTTTTCTTGCTCAAGACCTTAAGTAATAAGTCTAGATTTCTATCCATTCTTGATTTATTTATTTTTTATACTATTGATTTGGTCTTGAAGATCCACTTATATAAAACTAAACATTTATGATATAAAAGTTTTGTAAGAATCTAAGTATAATTTTTTATGAATAATTCATATTCTTTGGTCCTTTTGAAACATATCCTTGTATGCTATGTTAATTTGAATGTTTGCTTGTATTTCTCTCTTTAATTATAAAGCCAATACAAATATGTCAATGAGATATAGGAGATTTTCAAGGAAGTTGAAAGCAGGAAGTAATGAAGAGAAGTCCTCAAGGTGGTCCTTAAAGAACGTTATGTTAGGTACAATGACTATTTTTTTTTAAAACAAGTTATAACACCAATAGCCTTTTATTGAGATATTATAGTCAACAAAGATCTATTTGTCGGCCTTCACATGGAATTTGTATCTAAATTCTTTTGGCATATAAACATATGCTATGCATCCAAGAATATAAAAGTAAGTAAGATCTGATTTCTTACCACAAAACATTTTGAAGGATATTTTTTTGATGAGCGCATTAAGTGGACATTAATTAAGGATGTATTTTGTGGCCCAAATACATTTATACCATAGAAAGAATGAACATTTTCTATCAAAGTGAATGATTTGAGCTGCCTCTACAAGAATTTGATTTTTTTTTATTTAACAATGGTGTTTCAATGAAAAGACAATGGAGCAATAAGTTGATGTCTTATGCCATAGATGGACAAAAATTCCAAGAAGTAATTAAAGAGAGATTTTCTACCTAGTTCACTCTAAAGGCACAAGATTTTGAACTTGAACTTCGCTTCCATCATTTGTTTAAAGAACTAAAAGTGTTGAAATGTGTTGTTTTTTGTTTTGAAGAGGTAATTTCATATGAAGCAAGTAAAATCATTAATGAAAGTAAGAATTTATTTGTCTTGAAATTTTGACACTAGCAATCAATAGTAGTTGGTATAGAAGAACTTAAATGATCAGCTTATAGTAGAGAAAGTCTATTTTAGAATCATTTTTTTATGACTATTCTTCAAAATATATAAAGATCATTTATATTTTTGGAATTCCTATCATCAAGCTTTATACAACCATGTAATAGGCCAATTAATAATTCAAATAGATGAAGCCCTTATGTCTTACATCATTAAGGTTGTTGTTACTTATATTGTGAGATTTGATTGTGAATTTTATTTGCAAGAAAGTCACATAAGAAAAATCTCTTAAAAGTTGGAATATAATACCAAAGACAAAGGATTATAGATTCAATACTAGTAGTAGGTTGGCTTTAAGAGCGCTCTCAATTATAGAGGGATTTGGTACTATAAAATAGGATATTCCTTTAGATACGTCCAAACTTATTTTACAATTTGTAAGAAGTGAAGGTGATGTGATTTTTTTAAGTAATAATGAAGGTATCAATAATCCACATGTACAAGTATTTGGAGATGGTTTGGTGGCAATAAAGAGAGCTAAAATATTTATTTTTAATATACATATACTATCATCTATTCTAATATTAATAACTATATTAGCATGTCTAGAATTTATTGCTTACTAGATCTGCAAACTTCTTTATTACAGTTACTACAGTGATTCTATTGTTGTTAAGATAAACTTATAGAGATCCCAGTAATTGATGCAAAGTTATTAGTGGCAATTATTAAAGATATTTCTAATAATGTTGCAGTTGTGCCAATAGAAGTGCTTGTAGTTATTACAGTTTTAGACAATACAAGTGTTTTGGTTACAAGTAAAGAATGATGTGCATTTAAAAGAGGGTGTATCCTAATTCTAGGATCTAACATTAAATTACAAAGTCTATAAGGTTTTAGATAGTTCTTATATTACATATAGGATAATATGTGATAAAATTTTTTAATCATAGGCTATACAAGAACTATATGAGAATATTGAGTTAAATCCAACATCAGCTAATTTTTTTATATGGATAAGATTTTTAATTAATCTCATCATGTATAAAAATAAAAAAATAGAATAAAATTTCTATTTATAATAGTAATATCACCATCAAATGTAGCCAAGTTAAAACTATTTAAGAATTTTTTTTTCTAATCATATAACTAGACATGATAGAATCAATATTCCATAGCATTTCATCATAATCAATGATGTTTGTTCAAAATTATTCTTTTGGAATGTCTTAATACTTATCATATTTAAAGTAGTATTGGTCAAATATTTCAATGAGGTGGATTTGTATAAGAATGCAATTCTTGGAATAATGCATTGTTGTAGCATGAATTTAGGATACTAAAATATAATTATTGATTTGTTTCAAGTCAAACTATCCTTCTCGGTATCTTAATTTACTGCAATAGTTACACATCCATGTTGGTCCTTATTTACATTTAATGCTTTAGTAACTATAGTGATAATCTTAATAAATTAAGCAACCACATCCATTTCACATATTATACTTCTAATAATTGTTGTTTGGATATAGGCCATGATTGCATAATTTAGTATACATGGCTTCTTTATTGACTTTATTTTGGTTCCCTTTCTTCCATAATTCTTTACTTTAAATATGCTTTACATATTTTATATAAATAAGCATGGAAATTTTAATGAGATCAATACCAAATTGTGAGATGCATGGTCTCTAATTGTTCGAAAGCCCTTGTAAGACAATAGGTATTAATTTTATGGATTTTAATTTGGCATTTATACTAGTGTATTTATTGATGGCATCTTCGATTTGTTTGAGGTATTTGTTTTTACTATTGTCTTATTCAACATGTTAATATTTTAGAATTAGTGCTTTATAATTAATTTTTATTAAAGAATGTCTCTATTATATTGTTGTTTGAAGTAGATTCAACATCCTATTAGATTGGAGTGAAATCATTTTAATATTGGTTAAAATTTATCTTAATTGGTGGCCATAAAGATCAAGACTGCTTTGATTTTTTTCTTTTTTTATTTATTGGCAATCAATAGTACTAAAGTTAGCCTTGAAGATCTATTAGATTTTCAATTCTTACATCAACAACTCTATTGTTAGCAATAGCAACTATTATAGTGACAATTATAGATGTTGTAGTAGCAACATGTAGCTTAAATTCAAGTTCATCCTAAACTTTGTCTTATACGAGGACTTTGACCCACATTCTCCATGTGACATAATTTCTTTTACCATCAAGTTTGTTACTTTCAAAAAAGAGTTTTCAAACTCTATGATTAGAATTTCTAATTGAAAAAAGAATGATGAGAATAAACAAAGTCGGAAATTCTAAACTTTGGTTTCTATACAACCAAATATAATCAAAAACAAAGTAGAAAAAATAGCCTCTTTTTTATTTTGATATCATGTCGAAAGATGTAGAGAGTCTTGGCAATCTCAAAATATAAGAATGTTGTGAGTTAGTTTTGATATTGATCTTTATTAATCCATGTTAGTAAATCCTAACAAACTTGTGCAAGGAATTTTATGTGTTGTAGAGTCATAGTATGAGGCCATATTCAGTAAATACATATATCAAGGTACAAGTGGTTAAAAAATAATGTCTTAAAAAAAAGTAGCTTTATGCTAGGTGTAGATTTATGCTACCTTTTCTTAAAAAAAACATTATGTGAAAATTCATTTTTAGAAGAAATAATTTGCAACCTCTATGACTGATTGGTAGATTAACCAGACCCATTGAAATTCTGTGTCACCATCTTTTTGAAGGACAGGTTGACTTAGATAATTGAAGCGGCCGAACTGTACATCCGAATGATGGGGTCGAATTTGGATGACTTCTGTTCCGTCACATCCTCCGGTTAGACACCTGTTTCGGCCCTTTTGCCGCCTCTCACCGACAGCGAGTATTGCACATCGCAGGAACGGTGTAACATTATGGGACGAAGACTGATCAGGTAGAATGACTTTACAAATCACATTCGCACGGTCGTAATGGCTGATGAGAATCATGAGGAGGTAAAATCAATGTGACTTCAGCGTAATCTACTTCACGGGGAAGTTGCTCCAGCGAGCAGACTTGTGAAGAAACCCAGCTCGGTCCAGAAAATGCCTCGATATCGACCTGGCATTATCACCGAAACAAGCAGGGGGCTAACAGCGAAGCACATCGTCGTGAAATTGCAGAACCGCGCATGTACCACGTCTTGAGCATCCACCCAAAGGCATGACTTCTCCTCCCTCAGCTGGTATAATTCTCCAGAATCATTCATAATTATTTAGCGATCAGTTGCTGTGAAGAGAGTTTTTAGTACTACTGAGAAGACGTATCTACCTTTGGAGAGTAAAAGCTCCTATGAAGTTGCTCAGAAGAACCTACCCTTCAAACTGTAAATCTTTAGGATCGAAGTCCATTTTAGCCGGTCAGACGGAGGTCAACAATTGTAAGCTGCATGTTACTGACTTTGAGACCCAAGCATGACAATCATTCTGCTTACAGTTCCGGGAAGCTCTCCATAATTTCGAATCCATCTGCACTGGTGAATTACATGTTCGGCGAGAAGCTGCATATGGTTGCCGTCCGTCAAATTTCAGCAATCAACAATTAAAAACATATTTGGTTTCCAAATTAGAGCGAACAAAACTTCATCCAGTGTGTCCCCACAACTGATCGTACGTAGAGACGATTCTGCAACATCTGAACACACTGCAATTATATTTTACGGGAAGGCTAATCATGTGAGTAATTTTACATTGTAATGTATCCCCTACGGAAAGATACTCATATGAATAATTTGGGAAAATAGTACTAAACTGGGATAAAGATTACTCAATTATATCTGCTAGCGAAGGGTCTCCAGCTGACATAGCCTTAACAATACGATAAAGTTCAATGTCGCTTGTCGCCGCCCACGGGAAGACCACGTGCCATGCTGGAGTATAAGCTATGGCAGGGTCGTCTATCTCCTCTTTCTCCGACAGGTGCTTTATACTACTGAATGCATAGTCATCGAAGTTGCTAGGCTTATCCATTGCCATGAATATCATTGGTAAAGCTAAATCTCTGTGTAGCTTCACCTTCGAAGCCAGGGGTACCAGAGCTGCGAAATCGTCAATGTAGCGACGCGGGAGGTAGAAAACATCCGAGCTGCAAACGACGAAGTGGTTATCGTCCATGGTTTCTTTGTAAGTGGTGCGGTACTCCACTGGCAGCCGGCTCACCGTCTTCTTCACGTTGTTCTTGTGGTTCTTGGTTAGGTACCAATCCGCGCCCGAGGCATTGTAATCGACTGTTTGCCAGGTCGTATTCACCTGGTCAAAACCACACAACATTTGTATTCAGGAGGTACTTCCTTCACGGGTTGATATAAACGAGCTTACTCGACGGAGGCTGTGCTTGCCGGACAAAACCCCACATACCTGATGCAAATTCCAAATCTTCGTCTTGTTGGCGGATGCAATTTTCCAGTAGTTGAACACAACGGCCTCCTTCATCACCACGAAGCCGTCCGCTGCAGGATACTTCTCAAAAATCTTTGGCAACATACTGCACAAAATGTGGAATGCGTCAAGGGGTGAGCAAAGAATGAAGAACTTCAAGTGCTGGTAAGAGAAAAATTCTCTTGATGCCAGGAAGAGAATCACCTGTAGGATATCCACAAGTCGCTGGCGTGGACACCAAGCCCAGGTTCATTCTCCTGAGACAGAACAACGACGTGCTTGAATAAACGCCCATAGAGTAGCCGCCACGACAAAACCGTGTGATTCAGAGGCCAAGCACATTCGAGCACGAGCACCATATTGCCGTAGAACTTGCGCCATGTAAGAAAATCCGCAAACTCTTCCGTCAATGCCGTGCCATCCTCCACACCCAAATGAACCGTAGGGAAAGACCGAGGAACGAACTGCTTGTGAGCCAAGGAAGGAGCAGAATCGTCTATTAGTGCATCGAGATCACTCCCCACCAAGCGAGGCTGGCGCCACCCGACTGAGAGAAGGTCTGTGAGCCAATCAACCGTGAGTTTCACATCGATGGCGCCCCAAAAGCCTTCCTCAGCCATGGAGTGCGTCAGATGGATGATCCTATCGAAGAGAGTAGGCTTCGTGGACCGCCATTTCACGAGAAATTCCACTAGACGGCGAGACTCCGCATACAAGTCCTTCTCGTCGACGAAGGACAATGGCATGCCGGAATCCTCTCGCACTACCGTTGGAGGGTATATCACCATTATGCCGCCAACCTCCCATAGTATGCGTTGAGCCCAGTAACCGCGTACAATGTCCGCCGCCTTCGGGCTGAGCGTCACGGGCAGCATCAGTCCCCAGAAAGCTGCAGAGTGGAAAAGCGTGTTGAAGGCATTGCAGGGCGCCATTGTGCCATGGGGAAGGGCGACAGGGGGAGCGTTTGTGTCGAAATTGATGCTGATATGGCCGTTACGAGACCGCCTCGTGTTATAAAATATAGAGTCGATGTCTGGTAAGCCATTAGCAAGGCCTTGCTGAATAAACTGCTTGCCGGGGAAGACTTCGCTGTATGAAATATCGGGTGCAATTTCCTCAACGAATTCCAATGGATACCCTCGAGGCCACACTGATTTCTGACCGAAATGGATGAAAGGGTTCACAACAGTCCGGTTGGGGAGGGTGCGGAACTGAAGAATCGGATCCCGACGGGCTCGTCGTCCTTGAAGATACACATCAAATTTCGAGTCCAGGTCTTCGCCGATCACCGACTCTTTCTCGTCCGCATCGAAAATTACCTGTGCACCATGCTGGATCGCAAATAGGTAACCGATGTTCTTACGCAAATAGTTGCTGTCCGGAAGATGTGCGGAAATACGGTAGCCGAGAGCAGCTTGGTCGTCCATGGACAGGAAGATAGCTCCAGCGACTTTCCAATCCGCCGGCGTGTTCTCGCCGGCAACGGCGAGCACCTGCCATCCACTCACCCTCGTCAGCGCTTGAATGTGCGCTGTCGGGGCACCGAGGGCGGCTACTACGATCCACTTATCCGTCCTCACTGCAGTGTATCGTCCTTTGTCAACCTGTGCGGGGATATGTTTCAGGTTCAATTCCGGATACGGAATTTGCGGCAGTGCTTCTGAGATTAGCTCCAGATCTATGATCTCATTCTGCCCCTCGTGGCTGCGCATGACGACGAGAATCAGCACACTTAGGACCATGAACACGACAATCACGACCTTGATGAGATTCTCTATCAGCCAAGCTCCCACCAAGCTCACGGCACTTCTCTCCGCCTCAAATGCTACCTCAGGCGGCCTGAATACGTCGCTGTAAGGTTCCATCGTCTCGTCGTTCCCGGATTCCAACTCGATTGCTGCGGCAGCCTCATCGGGGACATTACGAGAGCCATTCCCCAGCCACGCCACGTTCCCATTCTCCTGCTGCACGAGCATTGCGCCCCTCTGCCTTCCGAATACGAAACACTTCCTTCAACCATCTACAACATTGTCACTATGCACACTGATAGTTTCAGTTCCAACATCCAGCTTCTGGTCACGGTTACTTCCGCTAAAATAATTCGACTACCCTAAAAGAAAATGCCGGAATGTCCCGCCTCTTCAGACACAGGAAATACACTGTCTGAAGCTTCACCATCACTCCCGTGCACCGCTTCTCTGCATTATCAACTCCTCCTTCTTCAGTCCTTCGTTACTCTGCAAATGGACCTGCACATCGATCCTCGACCCGATAAGAGCTAACGCATGAGTAACTCACATACTATGTTAAATTTAGCACGATTGAAAATAGATCGCGAGCTTTCAGCAACCATTGAAAACACCAAATCTACGATTCTTCTAACCTTGCAAGGAAGTCCAGGTAAATTTCAATCACTCCAATAAAAAACCATCGCTTCTTCGTCACCGCTGAAACTCAAACCAAAAGTCGCCGACACAATCTCAAATATTATCTCGTACACTTGCTACTGAGTAAACTTTAATCTGGTAACTATACACAACCAAGAGAGCAAACAATAGTTCCTGACGTCTACTCAAGCCACTGTCACACTACACACGGCTCTTCAGCGCGATTTCGACTCCAAAGTGGAAGCTTGAAGAAGACCCCGCCACTGCTAACAAGCCCGAAACATATTCGTCATCAACAATCTCTTCAACTCCACATTTCTAACCCAAACACAAAATGGCTACGCGAGAGCGAAACCGGCAAGCCAACTCACCAGACGAAGCTCAAAGCTCGGACGGCCAACGGCAAAAGCACATCAAACCAGCTGCAAGCTAAGTTTCTGTTGGCCGTATTCACGCAACACTGCACTCCTTGCTGCTAGAAACCACAGTAAGATGGCATTGGTACTCAGAGAAGAGAAGGGAAAAAAATGCACACTCACTCATACATGCACAAACGGGCAAAGAGAGAACGATTAGTTGTGGCAATGAGTGACGAGGAGCTGGGCCCAGCAAACTCAAGCAACAGAAGAGAGAAAGAGAGACGAGGAGGGGAGTGTAATAATGCAGCAACAATGACGCATTTCGAGTGACCGGAAAACTCCACTTGATCTTGGCAGCCCAGCCCACCCCAGAGCCCCTGTCCTACCCTGCTCTACCCTGCTCTGTCAGCCCTGTCCAGCCTACAAGCCTCGCAAACTGATTAACAATGTTTTATTACTTGTGATTTCTGTTATGCATTGACTCAACCCCTTTCCAGAGAGGCACTCTTCAATCACCTGATGCCATTGACGCTGCGCCGTACTCTTCCAAAGCGGAGCGTGGCGACCGCTGCCTCCTCCTCCTCTTCCTCCTCCACCTGCTCGCCTTCGATGGCTTGCTGATGCGTGTGCGGTGCCATCAGCACTCGACAAATCCTCTCGCCCTCGACTTCAACGCCCTGAGTACCTCCGGATTCTTTCGATATAGCGGAAAATTCTGAATCGGGGCCATGTCCAGAGAAGTGTGGGCACCCGTCTCCACGGGTCTCCACGGCCTTGGGCGCGGCCCCATGGCAACCATGCTTCTCAATCTGTTGAGGTCTGGAACAAGGCCTGGTTCCACACCTACGTCCACTAGGCTGGGATCCAGGTACGGTGTCTCTAGGAACAAGACAAAAAAATCTCACTAGCATTAAGATAACATTTAAGTTATTGTTATTGTTGTTGTTTTGAATCAAATAGATCTGTCTGATTTCTTTGAACGAACAATTTTGGAGAAGGTTGTTAAATTTGCATATTCTCTTGTGTGGCAACTTGAATTTGAAACGAAACAGCACTGTGACTTATTCACCATGTTGACAAGAAGGTTTTTGAAGGATAGTGCAGTTTTTATGGTATACTAATATTAATTTAATAAATGTTTATGCAATTAACTGCTGCTTTTCCTAGCAAGTAAAATTGTACACCTGATGTGTGTGTATATGATGCATGTATTTTTTTTCACAGTATTGATGTTGTACACAAATATAGTTTTAAAATTCAATGATTTCTATTTGACAATGCAATTACAATCAAAGCATTTGTTTATTTTTTAAAACTTACTTAGCTGTTTTATATATATATCTCTCTCTCTCTCTATATATATATATATATATATATATATAACCACATATTTTTCCATTTATTCCTAGAACTCATTTAAGTTTCATTTTTGCCTAATATTGCAATGTGTGTGTGGGGTTTTTTTTTTTTTTTTTTTTTTTTTTTTTACCTAATTTGTATTATAACAGAAGTTATTACACTAAGAAACTGTTGTTTATATTAAGGCATAGATTTGGTTTCGATTTTTTCTTTTTTTTGTGTGTCTTTATTTTTTAACTGCATGTATAAGGTTATGGTGATAGAGATATATTAAAACGACAAAAAAAATTAAAATTAAATATTAGAATAAATTATTGCAAAGAAAGCCACTTCAGTAATTCCAAAAGATTAAAAAAATAAGTAATGATTTATTTGTAAAGTTTATAAATATTATTTTTAATTAAAATCTTTTCAATTATAAATAAAGAAAATTAAGATATAGGATAAAATCTTTATGATTATATGTTTTTGAGATAAATAAATAAATATATATATATATATATATATATTCTTGAATTTTAAAACATGGATAAAATCTTAGATTTAATATTTATACAATTCCTATGTGCAATTCAAGTTTTTTTTGTTTTAATTTGCAAATACTTACTAAATTAATATAAGCAATAAAGTTGACTAAATAGTCTTGAATAATAAGTACAATAGTGTTAAATAACAAATCAAATAAATAATATGTCATTAAAATACATAACATATATAGGACCAATGATAACAATCTTTGTATTAATCTATATCTTATCTGAATTGGATCCACTCTAATCCAAATCACATTTGACTATGATATCCACATTAGTATTATAAATTTTGGAATGCAAGCTAATCATAATTTGAATTATTAAGCTTAATTGTGATCTTCTAATTTTGTTAGTCAAAATCATCAATAAAACCTTATAAAATTATTTTTTATAAAAAATTAGGTGTAAATGTTATATCGAAAATTAAGATAAATTTATTAAAATAACTAATGTCTAAACTAGTTTTCATTTTAAAACTTTGTTGATTAAACTAGAGACAATCTATTTAGATTTATTTCAAAAATGTACATTTAAATTCATAGTATCATATATGAAAAAATTGTTATCATCATTGATAATAAAAATATTAATAATATATGCAATCCATTTCTAAACATTATTTGTTATTTTAAGCTGATATCACATATAATAAAAAAAATATCAAGTTATTATGGAAATAATAATATTTTAAATATATAATTATTTTATACAATAGACCTTAATCTAAATAATAAAATATTCTAATACATTATAATTTTGTAAAAGAATTAATTAACATAATTTAAATATTTGAAAGAAATAATATTTGGTTATTAAGGTTCAAATTAGTGAAAAAACAAGAATTATTTAACATGCTTCTTTTTAAATAGTTTTATAATAGATAAGTAAGAATGTACAAAGAATCAAACTAATATTAAATGATGGTATCAAAGTATTAATGTCCTTAACATTAGATAATAAAATATATCATTAAAAGAAAAAATTAATATAGTTCAAATAAGAGAAATACTCTAAATGAAAAGCTTATAATAGAGGCTTCAACATAGATACAAAAAGACAAATAACTATTTGAACAAAAAAGATTGAGCCTATCATTAGAATTGTGACAAAGTATTTCATATTTTTTTTAATAGATATTATTCTTTAAGAACTTTAAAACAATCTTAAAGTTTAAAATATCTATTAATAAAGTTAAAAATTAGAGATGTCAATACTACTACTATTTGTAAAAATATGTATATATAGATGTATATATATATATATATATATATATATAAGATTGTTCCAATTAAAGTAGTGTAGTTAATCTTAATAATATAATTCCAAAAAAAAAAGATATTATTTCTAAATACAAGAACATAAAAAAGATATTTTTTTCTAAATAAAAAAATACATGATTTTTGGTGTTAAATTTAGAAATTTAAGCAAAAATTAGCTAGCACAAAAAAATAAAAAATAAAAATTGGATTGGCAATAAGTTCTAAGTAGACAACTAATAATTACAAAAATAAAAATAAAAATAAAAATCTAAAAAGAGATTAAAATTAAATTTGATGATATAAATAAGATTTTGAAGTATTTAATAAAGGTTTGATAATACACTTAACTCAAAGATGAAAAATTAAAGTCAAAATCAAAGATAAACATAGTATAAAGTAAAGAAGTTACATATGTCAAATCATTGAAAGGAAAAAACTCAAAAAAAAGTCTCTTGTAATTGGAAGTAGCTTAATCATAAGGTTTCTAATAAAGAAGATAAGTTTAAAATTATTAGTTTTTAATAAGATTAAGAAAAATTAGATTACAAAAAAATAAAGTAAAGAAATTAGAATAAGAGTAGAAGTTGCAAAAAAAAAAAAAAAAAACACAAAATACAAAGCAAGAGCAACTTTACTAACAACCAAAGTTAATTTAATAAAATATATGTGCTATGATTGAATATTATTGATGTAACTTGATGAAAAGATTATTTTGGATCTTAGAATTATAACTTGATATATCCAAGGTTGTCTAGTTGTGACTAAAAATACATACATTCAAGACTAGTCTACTATACCAAATCAAACAATAAACCAATCTTTTTTTATACATTCAAAGACAAGATAGTGGAATATAACAATGTATTATTTATTATTATTATTATAATTATTCTCCTTTGAGTTTTTAGAATAGAATTCAAGATCTAAAGTAATAATTTGAAAATGGAATTTGACTATTCAAAAAAGATTGAATTGGTCTACCCAATTTGGTCAAGTCAATTATGATTGAAATACAATCTATATACAACTAGTGTGTGATATCTATGTCCATTGCAACATCCATTGGTATTGATAAAAAATGAAGTAACTTGTGGGTTAGGAAATTAGGTTTACCAATAATATCAGAATGTGTTGTCAATGAGATATGTTCATTGCTAAAATTGAAACTTGGATGTCTGATAATTGTTGTGAAGATGTTAGCCTTGAAGACATAATAGGAATGATGATGTTAGCCTTGAAGACATAATAGGAATGATGATGTTAGCCTTGGAGACATAATAGGAATGATGATGTTAGCCTTGAAGACATAATAGGAATGATGATGTTAGCCTTGAAGACATAATAGGAATGATGACGTTAGCCTTGAAGACATAATAGGAATGATGATGTTAGCCTTGAAGACATAATAGGAATGATGATGTTAGCCTTGAAGACATAATAGGAATGATGATGTTAGCCTTGAAGACATAATAGGAATGATGATGTTAGCGTCTAGTGACACGGTTGTAGGTACTGGACCGGAAGACGCGGTCTGGGGGATGGTTCTTGGTCATGGGTACGGTGGTCATCACAGGGCCCCTATGCCGGGTTCGTCGGGCTCGTCCGAAGTGCTAGAGCCCAGCGGTAAACGCAGCATCCTGAGAAACAACAAAGCAAGAGGTTTTTGTGACGATGGTCGATGTTTGTGTAGGTGAACGGGGATAGTCGACCATCGCATGTTGACGTGTTCTTTGAGGCAGGGGGGCATGTAATGGCCTTTTTTGTAATCTTGCGGCGGCTCCACAGATCCTAACATTGTAGTGGCTCTGGAAGACGAGCGAAACAATGGTTTCCTCTTCTACTACCTCATTGCTGGTGCTGGGAGCGGGAGCATTGGTAGGGTCTGCTCTCACTCTCGCCCTCATCTCTTGGCGTACTTCCAAGACCAGCAACAGGTACCGCCCTTCTGATTAGCAACCTGCTCATGTAATGTATCGGTGGCAAGGTGATCACCGCCTAGGAAATGTATCCCTGATGTGATCGTCGCCATGGCCTGAATTTGCTCCTGCGAGGTGTACCGGCTTTCTCGTTTCCCAGAGCAGTAACAGATTTTGTGAGCGCGCTCGATTGGTCTCCTCGCTCCAGCCCGTGTCAAGTCACTCATCACCAAAACTTTAGAAGTCATGGAGTTAAAATTGTTTCTCCGGCGCCTACGTTGGCCTTGTAGTGTCGCTTTGGTACGTGAAGATGACTGTAAGGGATGTCTTGTACAGAATGTGTGGCTAATGGACTGTGTTGTATCGCAGGAGACAATTGGCAATTCCGTCTTTAGTCAAGAATCCTACGTATGAGCCATTCGTAGATACCAGCAAAAACGCGAACGGTGTAATTGGTATGTCCGTCGAGCATTCCTGGGCTTTGAATCGGTGCTTAGCAGCAAGTTATCTGGATTGACACGAATCATAGTTTTCAAGCAGTTGTTGTGAGGGAACGTGATAGCCATTGTTTACTTAAACCCTAAACCTTTACCGTGTATCTTGTGCAGAGACTACTTACGATACACTGTCGTCATTGCCAAAACTGAGTAATAATCTTCCAGTTGAAGATTTCTTGCGTGATGAGATAGTCAATGAGCAATTCACCAGGTATTAACGGAACTTCATGGTGCCTCACTGCACTTGCAAACTTCATTCCTCGCTCGTTGTATCCAGTAGCACCTAGAACATGGCATTCGGTTTACGCTCTTATTTTGGTGTCTTAGTCTAAGGTTCATAGTTCTCCCCTATAGAGTCGAACTTTCTTACTTCTGCACGGTTTCTTTGCGATGATCATGCAAATTAGGTTATCTGCTGCAGGAATGTGCAGTTTTTTGGGGATGCAGGTCAATTGAAGGTGCACCGTGCTTTCGTAGTAGTGGTGGGGCTTGGTGGCGTAGGCAGTCATGCAGCCGCTATGTTACTACGCTCTGGAGTAGGCAAGTTACGATTGATTGATTTTGATCAGGTCTGTTTCACGAGGCGGATGTCCTTCTAAGTGGATTGCACTCAACTTGTGCCGCTGCATTGATGCTGCTTACCTTGATTTGAATGTATGCTACCCCCGGCTTACCAGTCTTGGGTTGTTATTGCTAGATGTCGATGCTTTTGTGTGTGCTCATTTGGCATATTATATGTAAAAAATTGCATTACATACGAATCTGCGTAGTTGACTGACCCAGCTTGGTTTCCAGGTCTCACTCTCATCATTGAATCGTCATGCGGTCGCTACGCGGGCAGATGTTGGCATGTCAAAAGCTGTGTGCTTGCAAAATCACTTCCAACGAATTTTTCCGGAGTGTCAAGTTGAGGCACGGGTGCAAATGTATGACGCTTCCGCCCAAGACGAGCTTCTTTCTGGCTCCCCTGACTATGTCCTTGATTGCATTGACAACATTGACACAAAGGTTATCACACCCATCTCACTTGCCTCTGTAATGGAAGTATGTTAACAATTAAGTTGGTGCGTTTGATGTCTAGAAACTTGTGTGTGACACTTACCACTGGATACTGGGATAGTAAACAACCTTGTTCATAACTTACATCAACAGTCAGAGTAGTTAGCGGGTCTCTTTAATTCCTTGTTTTAACTGAATGATATGTTCCCCTTTCCAGCAGCTTGTGATCTATTATATTCACCCTAGGCTTCACAAGTGGTCTTAAAACATGTAGATTTCATGATCTCCACTTCGTAGTTCGAGAAGATGGTAGCTTTCTGATATTATTTGGTTGCTAGCATTCAAACTAATTTATTGTGATCTCAGTATCTCGATTGCTGTCAGGATGTGTAGCTCGGTAGCTTCTTTACGGAAAGCTGTCTTTGTTTATGTGTATAGGTCGCCCTTTTGGCAGCTTGTGTGAAGAAGGGTCTGAAAGTTTTGTCAGCAACAGGAGCTGGCGCTCGTTTGGATCCTACTCGTATTCGCATTGCAGACTTAAAGGAGTCGTCAAATGATCCTCTATCTCGATCCGTAAGTTTCTTTTCAAAGGCCGTGCAAATCAGAGCAAGTGATCTGGAAGCCAGTGCTGGTTGTGCTCTTTAAAAGAGCTAGGATTGTAAGAATACTGAAAACGACGTTGAATGTGGCAGGTAAGACATCGCTTAAGAAGAGAGCATGACATTCATGGAGGAATTCCAGTTGTTTTCTCTTTGGAGAAACCCAAAATGAAGTTGCTACCTTTCAAGAGTCCTAACGAAGACGACGCTCGGCCTGAGGATTATCAGGTTCTACCTCTGCAACTTGAAACCGTGAACTAGATTAGATGAGAAAATTACACCTTCACGGTGCCTTTTCATTCTGCAGAAGACGCCGATACTCGGATTTAGAGTATTTTGCTGATTGAATACCTGTAATAGCGCTATCAGGGTTTGGGCTTTTGCAAATTGTCTTTTGCAAGTGGCGAGCTTGCCTTGGCCACATATGGACCTACTCTTTCTTCAGAGTGATATCTGTTCCTTTTTGCATTTTTGAACTGAGGCGATGAACTGTGCGAACGTTCACTTGGTACAGGTTGTTCCGGGGTTCAGGGTGCGCATCATCCCAGTAATGGGTACCATCCCAGCAATATTCGGTCAAATAATGGCTACATATGTGGTCACTCAACTTGCAGGCATGCCTGTACAGACTGAGCCTGTCGTAAACCTGGATGTGGAGCACTATGGATTACTTCACCAGCGGCTGATTGAGCGGGAAGAGCTTCAATTTGGCTCTGCCGATGCCGTTGAGGTATTTCGTCGGACAATATATCCTTCCTTGAGTGTTAAATGCCTCAGGTTGATTGACCAGCTTTTGGCAGTGCCTTTTAATGCTGTGGCAATAATGCTTGTGTCATGTAGGTGGATAAAGAGGAAGTCGCATATGTAGTTCGAGAACTTTGGCGGGGCCGTAGTGCTAGAGATCAAGATTCTACCAATGTGGGTAGAGGCATGTGGCGCTCTATAAACAACCTTACTCTTACCAGGTAAGGGAACCTTGCTCATGAGTAAGTGTTGAATGGTGGTCATATATCATATTCTTAAGCGTTGTTGTTGTTGGCTGGTTCCGTATTTTAAGAGATTGTTTTTGTTCCACATTCTGAATCTCTTTACATTTTAGTGCGCTTAGTATGGATTTGTTTAAGATAGCACAATCAAGCAGATAAAGATAGGAATATCGAAGTTCCTCGTAAACCTCTCGTCGTAATAATATGATTTTGCTGATTACTCACAAAACTTTATGTTCTCTTGGTGCTTTGCTATTTCTGATCCTTCAGCTGATTGATGTAATATCTGAAATGTATTGTTGGGTTTATCAGATGGGATCAAACACGGCCACCTAGTATTGACAACCTGGTGTTATTAACCTTTGACGAGGTTTGTGGTCCTTCCCATTATCTACATGATTCTTTGCAAATAGTTACTTATCATGCAAACTGGCATCCATTCATATAATCTATATATTTTTTTTTAATTTTATTGTCTTATTTTGTTTTATCATGTAGGAACTGATTCGATTTTCAACACAGTCTTTAATCGCCTCTTGTACACAACTTCTGTTTTGCAGGCGGAAGCTCATGAAGCAACGACTTTAGAAGATTTAGCCTTCGATGAATGGGAATATTATTCTATGGTTGAATCTGTATTAGCTCGTGCAGTAAGAGATTTAAGTTAATTATGTTCTCAGTTGGTTGGCACTCAGAGTTGCACGACTGAAACTAGCATGACTTTCTAGATCGTAGTTAAGCGCTCCCCTTTGAACAACAGCTTGCAGTTTCCGCCCGTTCTCAACCACGGACTTTGGCACTCACTGGAACGAGCTACGTGAAAGTCCCGATAATCATTGAGAGCTGAAGCAGCCATTCTGAGGTGGTGTAAGCTGATCTATATCTTCGTAGGGGCTATCAAGGGTGGATGATGAATGCCTGAGAAAATCCAGAGTTGTGACCAGCTTTATCCCTAGTTCTTTGAAGTGTTTTGGATCCTTATCTTTGGCTAGGAGAAGTATTCTTTTGATCCTATGGTTTTCTCCAAATTGAGGTTCATAGAAACTCGTTCTATTAGCGAGTTTCTATGATCTCTTCAAATTGAGACGGACTCCAAGGAGCTTTCACACCCTACATTTCCAGTATCTTATTTCTTTCTGCATTTTCTCTTGTTCCTGGTTTAGTCTATGTGATATCTATTACTGATCAACACACTGGCGATATCATGTTGTATTCCATCAATGTACAGAACTGATTCGTAAAGCCTTTGTTTTGCAGATTTATCAAGTCTTACGTGACCTTGCAGTCCTCTGTACCTGCTGAGAAACTTTAATTTAAGCTGCTCTTGGGACTATACAATGGATGCGTAGGTCTTTGGTATTTAAGGAACATAGGAACCATTTGTTTTGACAACCTTAAAGCACCTTGACGCGTTACAGGTCTCATAATCTTGTAATGGACCATAAGTAAGCAGGAGAAACCTACAGATAAAGTCTATCAGTCATGTACATAAAAGCTCAACACCAGCTGGTCTGATGCAATTTGGTGCCTTGTTTGTTATTTTTGTTCCAAATCACTCCTTTTTCTTTCTTTTCACTTCCAGGAGAAATTTGCAAGAATAGGAATTGCGTAAGCCTTGGCTTGTCATTTGTGACGTGGTTAGGGGCTCTCCTCTTTGTTGTCGTTGTTATGATGGTATTGCCTCAACAGTTCATTAACCCTTAGCATCTTTATTTATCCTTATTCAACTTAGAAACGTATCCCAAAACCATATTTAATTCAAGCTGTTGAGATTTATGGTCTTGTGGGGTTCATATGTGAGCTGTAGTGCTTACTTTCTACTTCATTACTTAGGAAAGGAAAGAAAGGTGGAAGAACGTTCACAAATCACTCTGAATGTTCGTAACGGAGTTAAGGGTCAAACAAGGGCCTTAGCCTCTGTTTTATTCGGAGTTAAATGATGAAATTGTTCTATTTGAAAAACCGTTACTGTAACTTCCGAAGGTGTTTCTCTAAGCAATAAACCCTAACTGTGGTGGTCCATTCTGCGACTAAAGGACGTTGAACTTGGAAGCCCTAATCCCCAATACTCGGGACCCTACGCTAAGAGGTGAAGTTTTTTCTGCCAAGGTGAAGGCGTTGCACCTGGAAGAAGAGTGGGACCACTACTATGGAGTAGTTCCAGAAAGCTCTACTGGCATTGGTTTACTGACCTCCACTCATGGAAATTGCGGAGGACAAACATCGGTTTGGACGCAAACTCGAAAGGTGACGAGGATATTTTAGAAAGGGCGTGCCATGTCAATACTCCCCTCTTATCATGAAGTCGAAAAGTAACCAGGAAATTGAGTGAGACACGGTACCTGAGGAGGGAGGCAACTTGGTCTGAAGCCGCGATTGGTCTACGTCGGGAGATGGAGTACAAGCAGCGCGTGGGTTCGCATGCACTCGTGTGCTAGCTTGTGCTGCTCTACTCTCCGCACTTCCAACGCAATTCAGTTCTCTTCATCATCTATCCCCGCCTGCACAACCCTACCAATTGCGCATACTCGAGCTTATTGTTGCGGAGGCCGGAAGGTCGAGCTTATTGTTGCGGAGGCCGGAAGGGGAAATTTAAGTGGGAACAACCAATTGAAGTCTGAAGGTTGTGGGTTGTGAGTTTTGTGGTCGAGTTGGAGAGGATGGCAGCTATCGCGCAAACGATGGCGACCACGTGGGTTTCGCATACCACAGTCAGGGTGGTGCCGTTAAGGGTTGCCTCAAGTGGGGTGAGCTCTGTCTCCTCGTTACCAGCGGCTATGAGGATCTCTCACAAGGGGAGAAGTAACGCGATAGTTGTGCGGGCTTCAGATTCTGGTTAGTTTCCTGCAGATTTTACATTGTGTTAGTCTTGTGAGGATACGGGTTCCGCTTGTATGGGTTCAGTGGTCTGCGAAGTATGATCTCGCAGTGATTCAAAGACGTTGTAGGGGCTCAATACCCAGTTTTATTTCAGGTGACGATTAGTTCAGGAAACTACAGAAGAAGGGTAAGGACCATTTGGGTTGTAGACCTACAACATCGTAAGGAGTTTGTGCGGAGACGTGAGTTACTCAAAAGCATTTTCTTGCATACAAAAACTGTCATATGTGCCAGAAATATGCATGCAAGCACCATATTTTGAGATTAATATCCTGCAGTCCTGTAACTGATACGGTTTTGTGTTTGATCTTTTTGGTCAAGAAAGTGAGTGAATAAATTCATACGTATTGGTAAATGACGGGGGTGCTATTCAGTGTGATCCTTGGTCATCGCCGGTTTTTTTCAGTGTTGATAGAACCTGGGAGAATACAGACTTGAGATGACGATAAGTTAGGGTTGTGTGCTAGTTTTAATTCTAGCGTTTTGCAGATGAGGTTTTCTGGATACGTAATTTACGACATTGTGACTGGAATTCATGAATCTTTGCTTGTGCTGCGAATCTTTATTCTGTCCACGTACTTTCTCTGGTCATTTTAATTGTTCGGCAGCCGCACAATTTTTTTTTAACTTAAATTTGTGCTTCGAAGTGCATATTAAAGTGTCATTCCCTCACTTTTGCATGGTTTGGCAGCAACTGCATCACCGTCTAGTGCAGCTCCTGCCATCATGCTCACAGAGAAAGCACTGAGTCACTTGATGAAATTAAAGGCCAGTCAGGACAAGGAATTATGTCTGCGTGTTGGAGTTCGGCAGGGCGGTTGTTCCGGCATGTCATATGTGATGGATTTTGAAGAGTCCTCCAACCTTAGACCTGATGATTCGATCATCGACTACGATGGTTTTAAAATGGGTGGGTTCAAAACTCTCAACGGACTGGGCGTCTCTTTTTGCATCTAGTCTCAGTTACTCCTAACGCTCCTGAGTTTTCTTCTGAAAGTATTGATTTGAACTACATTCGCTTCGTGAACAGAGATGTGAAGCTTTCTTAAGCACATCAAAAGTATTATGTTCCAATTTCTTTTCTATTTATGGTTAAGAGAACTATCATTTATTTCTAAAATCATATCTGTGAGAGTATTGTTCTGACATCTTGCTGAACTTGGCAGTGTGCGACCCCAAAAGTCTATTGTTCTTGTTTGGGATGCAGTTGGACTACAGCGATGCTCTGATCGGAGGAGGCTTCTCTTTCAGCAATCCAAACGCCTCTTCTACCTGCGGCTGTGGAAAATCGTTCGCTGCTTAGATTACTGCAAACGAACATTTCATTAAAAATTAGGTTGTGCATCCCTGTGAAAGCATTTTTATTAGATTAATGGGAATGCAGATCTATGAAGTGTAATGCATAGTGCATAACCTGCTCTACAGTGTATTAACAGTTGCACTGTGAATATCCTCCATGTACTATATCGGATATGTAAATGATGTTTTCATTTAGTGGTGTAATCATACTTTTTATAGTCGTCACATTCAGCTGGATGCTTTTCTTATTTTAATTTGGACAAACCAGGATGGATAGGTTACTACAGTCAGACATTGAGGTCTGGGTGTTTCTCTGCCAGACAATGTGAACTTGTGTCAAGGATCTGGTGTGCATGTGCTTTGTCCTGAATGAGTCAAAATTCAGTATGGAGGTGGTTGATGTGAATGGAGGAGAGGTTGTCTTTCCATTGGTTTCTGACGGTTTCGTGTCTAGCAATAGTAGCGTCTATGCTCATGAACTTAAAGCAGTTTTTGATATAAAAACCCCTACGCAACTTGCACGCAAAATTGTTTCAGAATATACTTTTCAAAGGATGAAAGAGCACGGTTGAACATAATTAACTCATATTTCTAAAAGTGGCAATAGTCTTTACGCATTCTTGGCCTTCTCTGGAAAATGAATTAACAGTTCATACAAGCAACCTAGAACATGATCTTTCTCCAGGCAAAGTAATCTAACGAACTAGTAAATAAAAATTTAGTTCATTCATGTGAGAATTCAGCAAGTAATGATTGTGTCTTGGACGGTTTACAATCAATGTTTGCACAAGAATTGCGTGTCCAAGGACATCGTATCCAGATGATTAACCTTCTATTACTTGCATGATACAAGTTTCAAGATATAATTCACTGAAACTATCACCCTTAATCTGATTGTCAATATACAGGAGGCATGTACAAGTGCATTTACCGTAAAACATCTGTGTGCAAGTGAGCTTTGATCTATTAGAAATCCTGTGCAGCGTGCTATACTTGTAGACAAATTATAGCTTAAGATCTAGATAAATATGAAATGCAATTAGTGGGTAAATGCGCCGCCTCGAGGTCGACCCATATTTAAAGCCCCTCTCGCAGTGACCTGCAAGAAAATAGGAGTAAAAATTAAGACGCTGCTATCAGATTCTCAGAGCATGGAACATCTCTTTCAAATACCTTCAGTCAGCACATCTTTACAAAATGAAGTAGTTTCATCAAAGCATCCAATTACCTCGAAAAAAGAGTTATAATTCAAGCGTAGAAGAAATTGACGCAGGAAGGGCGCACGTTGGCTTCCAGCCAATTTAGTACTTCTCAGTATGGTGTACAGTGAATTTGACTTTTTATTGAACTCCTGCAGGTGCATGTAACACACACATGATGAGTATGGCCAAAATAGATTATGCATGACCCACGTCATAGCTATTTTCATCTGAGAGAAAGCAAACTCAAGTTGACAAAATGGTATTAATCGCCACTAGGTTTCGTAAACCACCGTCTAACCTGAGGTTTCAGGATCTACAAGAAGGTGTTTTCAACTCTCATTATGCATTGTGAAACCTCTTCATAGCATTGCAAGTATGAGGTTGTTGTAACCAAACATCTGCAGATTTCTATTTTTAAAATCACCGTAAACACCTCTCACAGCAACCACTAAAATTCAGTAAAAGTAGTCTTTCATAAGTCGAACCTCAGTAATTCGTTCCAGCTCAGCAAAGTTAGGTGTTTCATCTTCCTGCTCAATCACATGACAGAGTTCGAGGCACAAATTTATTATGCTGTCCAGAATACGGGAAACAGACCCTATGTCCAAAAATGATTGAGATATGAGAGCTGCCAGGTACCTGCAAATAGAAATCAGTTCCCATTAGTGCATCATTATCCCTTGGTAAATCGAGATAGAGAAAACATCTTTTACCCTGTGATCACAACCAGAAGAAAGCATGTATTTGTAGTGAATCAGTTGAGGTATGATTTATTGATTGCCCTTAAATTTGAAAGTACGCCATAAATAATGCATTGGGCTTGCTCAAGCTACGTACTCTTGGTGGAACCGAGCAAGCTCAGTGAAGTCCTTGGATGCTTCAACCCGTTCTTGTAGAAGATTCCATTGTGATTCAATAACATCAACCTATCAAAAAGACAATGCATTGTCAACTAATCAGCGCAACTTAACATGGTATACTACCTTGTACAGTACAAAACATGGAGTCAAATAATCTCGTCCTGCTCTCTGCAATTACAAATATATCGAAGAGTGATGATCTAGGTCTCCCAACAAGTTAAGATGGCAGAGCCAAAGTTATGAGATGGGAAAATGGTACCTGAATATAAAATTGAAGATTGGTGATTAGATAGGTCATGTGTTGCCGGACACGCCACATAGGCATGCGTTGCTGACGGCTATCCCTGCGCTTATTAGCAGTGTCATCGCGGTCCTGCTGCATAGCCTGGGCCCATGATTTCTCCAATTCCAATTGTATTCTCTTCAGCCTCAGCAAGTACTGAAAGACTTTGGTGTACCTACAAATAGTTGGCTTAATCACTATAAATCAAATAGCTATACAAAAACTAAAATAAATTGTAAACAAAGGCTCTCATTTAGTCCTTGTGAATGTCATGGATCTAATCCGACACCTCCACGCTGCCCATGGTGAAAGAAGTTGTTCAACTTCCAATTTCACTTGCTTGGTCATCAATAATTTACACTAACTTGGATGGAATCAAATATAACTGCCGACACTCACAAACAAAAACTTCTCCAAGAAACAGGCCCTAAAATTAGGGGCAAGTTGGGCTTGAAAAGAAACATACGCACAATTTAAAAAAGATTAAAAGGAAGTGCCCGAGATCTAAGGACACATTTGAGCTTAAGAACAAACAAAAAAGAAGACTGATAGTGAGTTTCATGAACCCACTTTGATAGTACGTCTTTGGTGAAGAGCAGTTGGAGAGGCCAGTTAATGCTGTACTCAAGGGCTAAACCATCCCAGCCATCGTAGGGCACGCTCTCTCCAAATCCTGGACCGTCTGTAACAGGTCTCGTTCGTTTTGCATCTGAGTCGCTACTCCCTGAAGCAGGATTTGGCATCCTAAACAACAGCAACAAAAACAACAGATCATGACAATCTACTTATTCTTCATCTTTATGAAATAGGTTTTTGAAGTCGCAGTAGAAGATTTTGTACCTCAAAGAGACTCGGTTGAAATACTTATCATCATCTCCAATAGTTTTTAATGCTGCCTATTTGAGCCGGAAAAGTAGTCGTCAGTATCAATGTACTAAATACACATAGCTGTGATCAAGCTTCCAAAGTTAAGAGAATATTTGATAGTCCCACAAACTTTATCCCTGATGAGAAGATCTATGCAACATTCTATTTTTTCCGTCCATGGTCCTCAGCTACAATACTGTACTCCTTATGCCTAATAACTTAAGAAGCCAACAGGATGGCAAGAGAAAGCAATCAGAAGCAGTAATTGCTGCAAAAGATCGACAAGGTCAATCACCTGTTGAAAAGGAACTTTCAAGTCTGCCTCGGCAGTAGATAGCCGTGGTGGACTGCGCATTATACTGCGGCTTTCTTCCAAGAAACACTACAGCATATAACAACAGCCGATGTAAGTAAATTTAACATGTGCAAAATGCATTACAATAACAACCAGGACAATGCAAGATCTCGAAACCCTGACTAAGTTTAAGTGTTAAGGGGTGACACTCATACCATAACAATGGACAGACTGAGATATGAGGGAATGATAAGTCTAAAGAATGCCAGAAAATGGTAGAAAGAAAAGGAACGCCAGAGAACAACGAACCCACATTACACACTTCACAAACCCAGCTATTGAGGATGTATTTAAAACTTGCCTGAAAGAAGTCACCTTTAGCCAAAAGGAAGTAATCCTTCAGGGCCTTCAGGTGCCCAATGAGGTCTGCATGAACCACCACCAACTGCAAGATACAGAATATCACAAGATCTTACTAGCAAACAACCAGATCAAAACACATTCTAAGAATACGTATGAATAGAACTGTCATTATACAAATAAAAATCATTATCAGCAAATGTTGTGTACCAACATGAAACTGTCATAGCACTACTGTGGGTGTTCTATTTTCTCCGTCTCACTTTATGGTATATGTTGTATAAAGTTGATACAAAGTCTTCTCCTCGTCCGAATAACCCATTGAGTACACAGTGAAAACTCATTGACATCAACCTCTCTTTTCAATAGTCAAAAAACATTCTACCCTTCCAGTTTATACATGCCATCAGAAACAGCCATCAAGACTGTATTTACCTTCCATAGATGAATTGCTGCTACAGACCGAATAGAATCAACTGCTCGCTCGAATGTGAGTTTATGAAAGTCTGGGGCTTTCTGTACCAAAAACGACAGCCAATCAACCAGCCCCTAAAACATGACTGGAAATAGATGCACAAATACTTGAAGAGCAGTTAAGACGTGAAAACATGTCGTATGAAGGTGTAACCTTAAGATCTCGTAGCATAGAAGCAATACTATCAGCTTCCGCAGGAGGCAGAAGTTCAGGGCCTTGATAACCACCAATCGGAGGCACAGAATATTTTGCAGTAGAATCATCTGCTCGATTGAAACCTTTTGAGGAACCTCGCTGAGATCCTGAAACCTGACTCTTAAACGTCAAACTCGGATTCCGTAAAACACGTAGAGCTTTACCGACAAAGAGGATAGACTCAGCCACCTGCAGAGAGATGTACTCCGGTAACATCTCCTGCAACAAATTCACCAAAGATGTCAGCAGAGGACAGCAACTACACGCCAATGAAGATTTATAAAGAAAATGTGACTCCAAAATATACTTGTAACAAGGCAAAGAGATCACTGAATCAGACATAATGCATTTCGAGAGAATTTTCCATATGACATGGCACCAGATTATAAAGCTCGCTCCATCTAAGCTTCTAGAAAAAATTGACAATAAGATCTAAAAGGTGAGATAATCATACAAATACCTCAGACTGAATACAAGTTTCACGATACCGAAGGACAACATACAAAATTTGACATTACTGAAAAGAGAAAGATCCAGACCAGGTTTACACAAAAGCCGGAGTGCCAATCTGCCAAGCGAGCTTCCTCTATTGCTTGGTCTGCATCAACCAAGCCTTCTGCAGGTTGCTGTCTGCGCAGAGCACATTCTTTGTCAAAACAATCCTTGTCTCAGCTCTCAACCACACGAGTGTGCGAGAGAGCAGACTTGCTGATTAGAAAACAACTAACAAGTGAAGTATCCTAGAATATAAGATTGGGAGGTGAATCATGGTCCATCATGTATTGAACAGATGTGATAAACAAAATACCACACGCACGCCCACTGTGACCCTGAGATAAAGTCAGATTGAACACAAACACAAACCTTCTCACGAAGAACTCCTGATGTTGATCTTGAAGTAAACCATAAACCATCCACGTTGATAGCTGTCGATACATCACTTGATGTCCATGCCACAGAAGCCTACAGTTCATTCAGCCACCCAAAGCTACTTGAATATAAGGTATCGAGAAACTATTGATCAGCAAGCTAGAACAGCAGACTTTAATATTGAATCTACCGACGGTAGGTTGTACCATAACGCCCTGAACACTGCTTCAATCAAGCATACGGGAGACTGTAAATTCTGCAAGACGCTGTAACGCGCAAAGTATACAGACCGTTGCATGCAAGCTTGCAGCTCCGGAATACCACAATGACATTTAGCATGTAGCAGATTCAGCAGCCGCCCTCCCCGTAGCTGCTCCCGCTCCACCTCACGAATAAGTGCGTACAATGGTGCTAGCAGCACTTCGAACTGCCACATAATTCGTAGAGATTGTTACAAAAGCATACCCTGGTCCATAACTATGTTTAAATAGTAAATGAACTGAGAAATTGATTGACTAGATCAATGCTCGAAATGTTCAACAAACCCGAGTAATGGTTATGGTTCACTTCAGTAGTGCACTGCGCCGTTAAAGACAGCCATATTACAAACCTGATGAAGGCCTTGCGTGACAGCAGCAAGCACCGGCACTGGATCAGCCATAAGAGTTTGCTCTACTTGAAGAACAGCGGATCTGTAAACAGCCAGCACTTCCGCAATACCATTTGCAAGAGCTCTACAATACACGCTTTGTTGCACAAGTGGCAAGCCTGGTTGCTGCTTCAGATTTATCCAACTTAGGTTCCGGCATTTCCCACAGAAATTGTCTAGCTCCTTGTAGTAAAAACCCAGGTGAAGAAGTTGATCCAATACTTGCCTGCTTCGTCCACAAAGCTTGTTTGTTACAATACATTACAAACCCTACGTGGAGATAGAAACGCAGAGAAGGTCTGAGCGCATGTAACATAAGCTTTAGTAAAGCTATCACATGGAAGATTCAGCAGCAATTCCCAATGAAGTCCAGGAAATCCCATAATTTGAATATTCAAGCAATGAGTTCACTTCTTCATCTCAGATCGTCTTAAAACGCACACTTCCAACATCAGAGAAAGCTACAGTATCATCATGCCAGCAACACCCATCAATTCTCTAACATTGCAAAAAACGAATGCACTTCAAAGATTGATCACCCAGAATTACTAAAGGACCCCATTCTTACTTCTCCGAATCCTTGAGGAAGCTAATGTCAGAAGCGACGCGGAACGTGCACTCATCGGCAATGGTCTCCGAGGCATCCGACTCCTTCTCTCCACCATTCTCACCGCTGCCGGACCGCTTCACTTTCGGCGTGCAAAGACCAAGAGCAACTGTCTTCTCCTTAACATCCATGAAAACATCTCCGGTACATCCCACCAGCGCCAGCAACAGCTCGTGCAACATCGCGCAACTCTTTGCTACACCCCGGGCAACAACAACAACAACCTCACGACGAGCTTTATTCTTCCAGCGTCATCGCCACATCACAAAAACCCACAGAGCTTTAGGGTTTTAGGGTTTAGCGAAGATCTGAATGCCAGGCACAGACAGGGTTGATACGATGGACCCAATTGTATGAGGATATCATGGAATGGGCAGAAAATGCGGTGATTGAAATCACTGCAAATTTGGAGCTTGCATCGATCGTCGTCTACCTCGGCAAACTGCAAGTGTACGGGTTTAGAGTGTTTTCGGAGGGGGACTCACTGAAGAAGTGGCACCTATTTCCGTTCCAAAGAGATACAGGATTTGAACATTTGAACATTTTCAGCCGAAATGTGATTCGCAAAAAGGTGAAGAGAGCCGAACCTTTGGTGCTCACGAAAATCTCTTGGAATAGAACTATTTAAGTTGGTATTTTGAATCCCAATTGATGGGTTCTTATACACAATTTAGTCCTTCTAAATTACAAAAGAGAGTATATGCGTGTATATATATAAAGAGAGAAAGGAGCTTGAAGTTTGTCCCACTAACATATGAAGCCAATAACTAGTTCAAACATATTATATGTATATATATATATATATATATATAGAAAACAATTGTTGGATTTTAAATTATTGTATTGAGTTTGCTATTTTTATTTACTAAAATAATTAAATACTATAGGCGGATATTTTTATGGGAAATATTCATTAATCTGAAGCTAAATTTATACAATTTTGAAATTCTCATTTGATAAACTATAAAATGTTGACATAAAAATTCTATATTATGATTTATTATTGAGCATCAAATACATTTTCAGAATTAGTTTTTTTATGCAAAATTGTAAGTAAATAAATAAATATAAAATGTATTTGCATGTATAATCAATAGGTTTGTTTTTGCTAATTTAACAACTTGTTAAGCTTCAAAATAAAGTTAAGAAATTTGTTCTTCTAATATTGTACATAGAAAGGACTTAAATTGTATACTTTAAATGTACATTTTTTTAAAAATAAAATAGAGATGATTGTGAATATTTCCAAATATGTACAAAAATAAATTATATAGTATACATAAAATTAAGTCATCCAAAACTATATTGTCAAGATAAATATAGGAAATAATCATCATAAAAATAAAAATAAAAATAATATATATATATATATACTTAGAACTAAGAATATTCATTTTTTAATTTTATAACATATATATATATATATATATATATATATATATATATAATGGAAGTAGATGAAAGATTAATTATATACATGTAAATATACGGTTTTAACTCATGATTTTATAGTATCAAATATGCATGAATTTTACCAACAATCTTTTATTTCTAAAGAAAACATTTAAATTTATTTAATTTTAAAATAAATAAATATTTGCATTAAAAGTATATATTAATATGTAATGTAATACATGTATATATTGTAACAGCGTATAATTTTTTAATGGATTCTTTTTACTTACTTTAAACCATTAAATCTCTTCAAAGTTAGTCTAATTTATCCTACTAAAAATTTGAAGTTCTTGTATCCACCTAAATAAGCAATCTTATTAAGATAAAAATGTTTCTATCTGAGTAATAATTTAGTTTACAAATAATAATAAAAAGTAATTACAAATAGTTATTTATTTTAAAAAAACAAAAAACATAAGTAACAAAATAGCAAGAGGTTATATACCAAATCATCAATTTTGGAAGGCTTTGTAAATTATTGTTTAGCAGTTTACATCACATCATTGTATTGCTATTTTAAAATTTTGTTTTTGCTTATTATTTTTCTCAGAAATATCCATTTTAAAAATTTCTCTGTTTTATTTATGACGTATATACATATATATATATATATATATATATATATATATATTTATACATTTATACACACATAAAGTTTATTACAAAACGTAGTTCTTGGGAAGAAAGGTTTCACTTTTAGCGATCTTCATAAACTTTTACATGACTGCCTGTCAAATCAATAATGAACTTGTTCATCAAAACTCCAATGTATGAACAAACATTTCATATCACCATTGTTTGAATTTCTTCTCTTGGAACCTTCCAACTTTTGTGTATATTTACAGGTCATTCCCATTGTTTGTGCTAGAATTTTACACTTACCCTTGAGATCCATAATAACCAACAATAATAACTTTTTAGCTTTTAGTGTAGAGAACAACAGTAGACATCCTAAGGGCTTTACACAGCATGAGGACCTGTAATAACAGCCACACACAGCCTTTGACATGGGTTCAGACTGTGTCATTTCAAAGGGCATAAATTGATTTGATTTCTCATGGTTATAACCAATACAAGCTTCAAAACCAAATCAGAAACATGTAGAGACAAAGTACGGCACACTCCACTGTTGAATGTTGTTTGAACCTCACGCAACACCATATTACACATGTTAACAATGTTCACGTACTGGCACATGTCTCTCAAAACCTTCCCTACTTTTCCCCCGAAAATGATGTGTTAAATATGGTAGCAAGAAACGTACAATTTTATTATATTTTTTGAAATTCTTGATTAGAATAAACAAAATAATTTACTTAAGTTGCGCAATAGTGCACATGAAAGAACCAAGAATCTGAAGATGCGCAAAGTTTCAAAGAAATGCACACGTACTCTTCGTTTGAGTCTTATCATCTCGTCCTGTAACCGGTAATGACAGTGCTCGCACCTGTCTACTTTTGGTAACGACATTTGGACCTGCGTCTAAATACGCAAGTCTCCAAGTCAAACCCTATCATTTGCACATCCATTGCAGTGGTACGAGCTTCCCACACCATTCGAATAATAGCTCAATATGATACAATATTGAATGCTATTGCAATTAGCAAACTTGAAGAGCAATTCATACTGTTTGAACTTGAAATATGATATACCAATGTTGCACACACGGGTGGCAGATCAGTGTCGACTGCTCATTCTGCATGAACATTTTCCAGTAAGTCTATTAACGAAAGAGCGTGACTGCATACCCAGACAGTGATTCTCCTAGAAGAGGCTGACCAAATTCACTACCACAAACGATTGTCATAGGCCAGGTTCAAACTTACCTGCAAAGTGAAAAGGGCGATATACCAGATGCCGATACTCCTCGAGGAATGAAAGCTACTGCTGCTAGCTTATCAACTCCAATCTGTTCCACACAGCAGAGTGGACAAGCCAATTGAGAACCCATGTAATTTCAGAGTTGACATTGATGCGATTGGAAGTCACTCATAGCAGGGTAACTACTCAACCATCACTGCAACGTCATAACAAGGAAGCCACATCTTGATGAAACAATCCCATACGCACCTTTGCTGCACCCTTACGACTGCCAAAAGGTAGCACAACAGGATTCGTCAACAGATGAAACAGGTATTTTCCTATGATAGCGTCTTATATTACATCACTAGCTTCGAAGTAGCGTTTGAAAGTTGGTTCTTCCTTGCAATGGTCGTGCAGCACTGTGTAAACCTCCATCAACAGCCGAGGAAACCTAGTGGAAAAGTAGATCTCAAAACCATCTGGAAAAGGCCCTAGTGATTCCTGCAATCGCGAGTCACAACTCAAACATATGGCTAACAACAAAATAAAACACTCGATTGGAATTCACCATGTAAAAGATGTGCAGGGCTACATCGAGTCCACAAAACCTAATTAATTAGAACCAAATCAACAACGTAAGCAATGACTGAACCTGATTCAAGCCACTTGCATTCTTGAAACAGCCCCGTAAAACTAGATCACTTGCTTCCAAGCATACTAAACTTTGGTTGTGATAAGGAAGTGAAACAATGTCCCCCTAAATGAGATAAAACTAAGATGAATCTAACAAAGATTACACCCTACTTTCCAAATAAGAACTACGGTGCTGAATGGCAAACTAAACACGAACCTGCATATCTTGAGAAAGCTCCAGAAAGTGATGGCTTTTGTTACGGATGATGCGGAGTAGGTCCCTGACACTGCTAAAGTTGTACTTACGATAACGGCGTCCATCGTCCAACAGTTTTGAATCTAACTTCGTCTCCCAAGACGACCCAAATACATCAGGTCCAATAGCTTCTACTGCAGGCAATACAGCTGAGTCTGGCGCTCGATCTTCATGTTCCACTCGGTCACTGGCTTTCAGCAGAAAAGAGAGGCGTTGTTCGCTATTCCAGAAGAAGGGATGTAGCAGAACATCCTTGGCAGCTGGCCTACATACCACAAATGAGATTCTTAGTAGTGGAAAGAAACGCCCTGGCCAATTGCTCTGAGTTAATGATAGTTATCACGCAAACGTCCGAAACCATGACATGACTTAAATCCATTCAAGGCAACAAAGTGAGAAAAAACCAAAAATAACATAAAATAAAATAAAATAAACAAATGAGGCGCACAAATCTTCATATGCGATGAATGATGGAAGGCTTCGCTGGGACTGGGAAATCATCACACGTGGCATTTTCAATTTTCTCAAAACCAAAAATGAAACGTAACACATCGAATCACGTCCATGTGGAAAGTAAGCGAGAAGGCGTAGCAGCTCAAAAAAGTACCTTTTGGAAGGGTCATGAGAAAGCAGTGACTTGATCAAGTGATAAGCCTCTGGCATGTCCTCAATGTAAAAAAAATCTGGAGTATCATTCGCAATATTGGCATCTCGGAGAAAATGCTCCCCGTAAGGATGTTGGCCTCCGGTGATACAAAAGAAGAAAACACACCCGAGGCTGAATACATCCACTGCCCGAGTTTGACGACCTTCTTTGAGCTGCTCTGGGGCTTGCCAACCTCTACTACCTGAGCCACCTTTACCTGCACAGGTTTCAATGTTGCGTTAAAAAGCAGCATACACAGCTGCGGCTACATGAAGGAACAGAAACATCCTTGTCACCGATCAGAATCAAACGGCATGCTCATATTTAACTATGGCCACGAAATTATGGAGTCAGGGACTCATGAAGAGACATAAGGGCTCGGTAGGTGACCGCAGAGCATTTGTTAAGCAACAGATTTACAGAGCAGTTAATAGCAACAATATCTAAGAGAGAAATGTGCTAATCATTGCAGGTAACTAATTTTAAGCAGAATGTCACGGACGTTTCCCAATTGACTCGTGAACAAATGTAGTTCTAGGTAGTGGTAATGTCAACATCCACATGTGGAAAAGAAGGACATTGAAAGAAATTTGCCCAGGATAAGTTCAGAAACAAACCCGTATCTTGATAGGACGAGACATCATTAGCAAGATGTTTGCTCAGGCCCATGTCAGCTAGCTTGGCTTGCAAAATACGCCCATTACTCACGAGCACGTTGTGGGGCTTCAGATCCCGATGGACGATTCCCACAGCATGCAGGTGTGACAAACCTGCAACTATGTCCCTGTTCCAACAACTTATTAGCGATGTGACTTGCTGAAATTGTTCACAAAGTATTCACTAAACAGCAAAGACCTCCTGAACAAAAACCCCTTCTACAGAGTGCCTGTCTCTCACCAAAGTTAAATCTCACGAAAACAAAAAGGACTCATAGATTATATTCATGATGCTGGAAAGACCAAATACTACTTTTGTTACCTCATCAGCTGCAAGAGTTGAGGTGAGCAGCGCCCATTATCATCCCACAATTTTAAATCCTTTCCGTTGGGCAGCTTCAAATGCTTCACGTCGTGAGAATCGTCATCTTTGCAACCAGCTTTTGGAGAATTGTTGTCACTTCCAGACACAATAAGGTCATGCAGGCTCAAAGCGCACCTTTCCAAAGCTACATACACAAAATCCATGGTTTCTTCCATTGCAAAGTACCTCACCACATTTGGGTGTTCATCACTGGTAATGAGAAATTTTATCTCTTTCACAGCTTTGTCATAATGATGAGCTAGAAGCCTTTTCACGGCCACATGACGACCTTCGAGGTACCCCTCAAAAACACTCGTGCCGTTGCTTCCAGCTCCAATAACAACCTTTGTTACAAACAACCGTCCAACTTGTGTGCCATCTCCACAAGCGCTGTTTTTAATAAAGACTTTCCGGGTAGTTCCTTCAGCAGTAGTCTCAATAACCGGCCTTTGGTTTGATTGAATAACTTCGTTGTTCCCATCATCCTCGGATGGCCCTTTGTACGAAGCCGAAGGACCCCCTTTTCTACCTTTTCGGCGATTCTTGTTGGCCCCTGTTTTCTTTGATTTCACCATTTCCTCTCTTCTCCCAAATAAAGATTGGTTGTACACGTACCAAAGAGAAGACAAACATCCGGTCACTACCAGCAAGATGCCCCCAACGCTCCCTAAAGCCCAGGCAATATCACGTCCTGCTCTGGTAGTAACACTGCCGTGGTGGACAGATCTATTGTCCAAACTTGGCACACCATCAAAAGTCTTCTGTCCTGGATACCCTCCATTCGGATACAGGCCATGTCCAACTTTTGCAAGTACTGGTAGAAGCTGTTTATTATCTGCAACATTGGAAATCGGCTGCATCCTATGAACAATAGAAATCTTTCCTGGAGAATTGGATTTCCTGTCCAAAGCAGCAGTTGCGGGCAGCAGATCTCCTATGTATTCACCTGTGACAAAAACGAAGACGAATTGATCCCTGCAATAAAGGCATGCTGAGGTTTGCAAAGATATAAACCACCCGTGTATTGCATAAACTAAGAAACGTCCAATAAGAGAGTTCACCTGAAGAAGAAAAGATGGCAATTGGAGCCACTTGATACGATGGCCTTGAAGACGCCACGGAAGCACCGAGAACCGGCTTGACAAAGTTACTATTTTCGTTGGCATCAACATGCCTCAGCATGGATGACTGCCCCGAAGCCTGAACAAGGGATAGGGTCTTAACCTCGCCCAACGAGACATTCCAGCGGATTTTGCCCGTTGCGAGTTCCTGCACAGTCACTGAATAATCGGTCCTAAGACAAAGCATGGTGTTGACCTTCTTCTCAGAATCAGTGAAAGAATTCTGCTGCAATAAAAGCTCTGCATCTTCAGCCTTAGCTTGCCCATTCGCAAAAGAGGCGGCTTTCTCCAACACTTTTCCGGAATTATCAAATTGGCGTATGAGAGCCCCCGTGTCCTTATTGAGAAGAAATGCGGTGTTCGTTACTGAACTTAAAACCACTGCTCCATCATCCGTGTGATGAGGTGAGCTGGCTACCAGATCCTTTATATTGATTTGCATAGGCTGCAATAACCAAAAAACATTTCTAAGACATACAGCTCTAAATAAAAGCACAGCAAGTTAAATTCACTTCAATACTACGACCCTCAGAGCAACGATTCTCTGCGTGCACTTATGGTCAATTCTTTGTAGTTTCAACCATCAGGACCTTATGCACATAATTTCCTGCAGTTCTTTGTACAATATAGCTGAAAACTTTGTCAGCTCAGAATATCGTCAACGATTCTGGACCGAACCTCTCTTCAAAGAGAACATTTTAAAGAAAAGTATAATATTTGAAAAGGGCGGGGAGGTGTGTGTGTGTGCATCCAGTGAGTAGAACATAGGAACATAGGAACAGTCCAAAACTCACCGAAATTCCATTTTCATCCTGGACATATAGTTTTCCATCTGGTCCAGTAAAAATAGACCAATCCTCAGTTTCTACATCAAGTCCATCTTCCAGACTGGAGTTGATTTCCCTGGTTTCCTTTTCTCTTCCAGCCATGGATGTGGTAGACATTTCTGATCCTGATGCAAATGACCAGAGAGTCTTCCTTGTTGCAGGGTTCACTGCGTGGAGGACTCCACCAAGCGACACCACCATAATCGGCTCTTGCCCACTGACTCAGTAACAAAGTTGGAAATTAAATAACACATTTAAAACATATGTAAGCAAGCAGGAATCGAGTGTAACAAACGCCCAAGATTCCAAGGGATCCATTTGAGATTACCCGAGAAAAAGCTCATGAACCCAGTCTCTTAAGTCTTTCACAATCAGCAATTGAAATCTCTAATTCGGAACAAACGTTCTACGCTTAAAGAAGTTATGTTCTGACTAAAGAAAAACTGTCTATAAAAATGATTCTTTGACAAGCCAAGAATATTTGAGGTTTTCCAAGGAACCAAGAAGGCCCTCGGCAACTTCAGGGGTTAAAAGAGACTGATGCAAACAGAATGGTACACTAAGCCCACAAACATCAACAGCAAGAGGGATCTAACGATCAGACCACAACATGAGGTGTTCGATGCACGTCACATCAAAAAATAAGGCATTCCACTATAAAAACCAATGTGCACTAAACACGTGCTCCAGTGACCTCTACAAGCTGAGCTCGAAGGAGGAAAAAAAAAAAAAACAAAAAAAAAAAAAAAAAAGCTTTTGTAAGAATGAAATAGCTCAGGAAACATGTATCATTTCCCATTTAATCATGCGGACACCGAAAAATTAGTAATTTTTTCATTTTGAAGCCTGCTGAGAAATTGAGGGTCGATTATCTGATTCAACAGTACTTCAGACAGTTTAAACTGGCGTACTGTGATAATCTCCTATCTACACAATGGTTTAAATTTCGGAAAGAACTTCATAAATTCCCCAAAATCTAAACACAAAAGTCAATTTTCTTAACACCACAATAATCCCCTGAGTGTAAAGACTCATAATTCTGTTTTATTCCTTTCTTTATTTCCTTTTTGACAAGAACGACACATAAAATATTCTTCCTAAAAAACGCCATTTCAACCTCCAGAAAAGCGGGTAGGAGCAGAGGAGATTTACAAAAATAAGGAGAGGAGACCACAATGCGCAAATTCTAACACACGAAACTAACTACGACGACACAAAAGAAGCCTAGGTAGTCGATAAAAGTGGGCAGAGAGCTCACTTGTGGGAGTCTGCAAGCGGGGGTAGAAGTCCCAGGTTTTCGGCTGGCCAAGCAGGGACATCCGCACTGGCCTGCCGGAACATAACCATCGCCAGAAGCGAGCAGAAGAACAGGATGCACCAAAACAACGTCACCCAATATCGCCCTCCCACCATTTTCGAAACGCCAAGCCGACCACGATCCCACAATACCCAAAAATTCCGCAACCCCAACGGTGTAAACGGGTAAAGGCTTTAGATGCACTGCGATGGTTCTCAAACCTCTCGTGACGGGCTCCACCTCTCATCAAACATTATGTTCTTCCGAGCTCCGCGACCACCATAATGCAGCAAAATGTCTAGTCCGGAGGAGAAAACCCCGAAACCCCAACATCAGTCCACTCACCCGAATCCAACACGGCACTTGTGTAAAAACCACGAACCTAGCATCAAATCAGGCCATGTTCGGCTTGCGACAACTCTGCGTGCGACCTCAACAACGCATTCCGTTGGCGCCACATCTGGTTTTTCCCCCTATTTCCCCCTCATTACCCTATCTATGTGATGTTGCGATGAAATGCACCCGAGAAACTGGCTCTAGAAATGTCAAAGCTGCCGCAGCTCACCCCCGACCGAACGTGGACGACCCATCTTTGCAGACATGACGAAGCAGAAGAAGAAGTAAACGAAGCTCACCCCACGGTTTCCCCATACCCGCATTCACCCCAAGACCGTCTATGTCCCCATGACCGAGTCTGCCCGACTAATGTCTGACCGCGTGGTCATGTCATTCCAGTAGAAGTATTTGTTGAAACCTATTGTTGAAACTAGGGCGGATAATCTTCTCGAAAATTTTGGTATTCTTGAAAACCAAATAAATTTTTACTTTATTTTTCTACCATAAAATATCTTCTTGAGAATGTGTTACATTGGAAAAATAAATAAATAAACAACATTAAATTGAATCAGAAATCAGGTGAGATAATGGTGATGGAACGGATTCAGTATGAATTCACAAGATTTCTTGGGCAGTTTCATCTAAAACAGCATTTCGCTTAGCAACAACATCATCAACTTCTTTGTTTCTTTCTGCAGCACTTTGTTATATGCAAAGTTGCATCTCAATCTAGCAACTTTTATTACATTCATTTCTAGTAGTTTTTAATATTTTCAAAAAATATTGCATGCAAAAATGCAACACCCAACCATCCATCACAGAAAATATATATATATATATATATATATATTTAAAATTCTGACAAATCTACACTCATGATTTTGTATCTGTCCCTGTGCTTTATTAGCTGTGCATACACGACGTATAGTAAATATTATGTACATCTCAATGCAAAAAATAGTCACGATTTATCTAAAATCACAGAGATCTCAAAAGCCTCGATGAACACCTCAGGGGGCTGAGCTCCCGACACTTGATACCGTCCATCAATCACAAAATGAGGTACGCCTGAAACTCCTCGCCGAAACTTTCGCTCTTCCGCCAGTACCTCCTTCAACCCTGCCTGTGGATCATCCAAAAACTCCCGGGCCCCTTCAATGCCAACCTTCTCCGCAGCCGCAACCAAGACGTTCTTGTCACCAATATACTTCTCCTCTGTGAAGAAATTGACGAACAATTCCTCCACTAGCGCATTCTGCTTCTTCAGACCCTGCCTCCCGGCGAGCTCAATCAACCGGTGACTATCCAAAGTGCTTCCCGTCTCCCCACCGATGGAGAACTTATACCCTAAGTTCGCGAAAGCAGCTCCAACATGGTCTACAATCATGTGCATCCTACCTTCTCCGAACTTCGACCTGTAATACTCCTTCTTATTAACTCCCTTCACGGACGCATCCGGATTCAAGAAGAAGGGATGCCACTTGACCTCAACGTCGTAACGATCTTTACATGCCTCGATTGCTTTCTCCAGGTGCTTCTTCCCTACGAAGCACCATGGACACACGGTGTCCGAGGTTACATCTACTCGTATCAACTTCTTCGCCATCGCTGCAAATAGTCTACTGCTTCGTCCGATGTTAGCTAGCGCCACTGACACACAGGAATACTAGAGAATTCAATGTCCAGAAACGAAGTCACTAATCCTTCGAGCAAAATCGAAACGCACACAACACGTATTGAACCAGGGTCGTGGAAGGTTTTCACAATTTGTACACGAATGCAGAGATTGATTCACTGGTGCGACGCATCGCCAGTGGGATTTAAGCTTCCTCGCAACGGCGACAATCGGAAGGCTCGTCGATTTGTTCGCAGTGCCGGAAGTAGGGCCAAGGAGAGCTTCGCAGGATACATCCGCCGATCTGGATGGTATTCGTCGACAGTGATCTACTGGGCCGGATGATTTCTAATGATAGACTTTTAGGAGAGGGTCAGTACCTTTAAGATTCTTCTTCTTTTTTGGTCTTGGTGGGGGGTTCGATTCTACTCGGTATCATCACACGCTTCAGTTCTCTGCGATGATTTTTATAGACGGACTTGCAAAGAGAACTTCTATCTGGTATCTTCTCCTGGGATGGTTCCGGGCTCGAACCTTGGTGGTGGCACCTTCAAGAATCTACCTGCCGGAAATCAAGGCAGGGAGTAAATCTCAGCCCAGGTAGGTCCTATGTGCTACATGCATTGCTCTTGTCCATTCCTGAGAGCGAGTCTTTCAGAGTTTACTGAGAACCACTTGTTTGGAGCATATGAAGCAGAAGACAATACAACAATAGATTGCACATTTCAGAGTTTGCTAGTCTAGTGTAGTACATTCAATTTCCAAGTTTAAATTTGACGTGAAGGAAATTGTGGAAGTAAAGATGAAAGTGAGTTAAATGGAGAATGGGTTCCATTTACAATATCTTTGTTAGTAGAACCAAAAAGGAGGAAAGAAATAAGTGTAGTTGAATGTTATTCTTATTATAATTTGGAACAAAATATCATGTTGTAGTTGATTGATTGCCTACAAAATATAGTTTGGTTGAATGTTTTTTTAGGAATTAAGTTTTATTTATTTATTATTATTTATTTCAATCATAAAGTGGTGCATTTAACTAACCTTGTATCATTGTTGTAAAGTTTTTGGAGCATGTTTGTATCTTTTTAAAAGATCATTTTAGTTGTATATAATGTTTTGTAAAGTAGATTTCTTAAGACAAAAGTAATTCAAAGTTTAGGATTATAATTAAGAGTTAGTAATGTCTTCATTGAAGTCATAGGTTTAAATTAGATTTTTAAAATATATAAAGAGATTAAGTATTTATTTTTAAATTATTTAAAATTAAATATTTAGTCTTATAATTATATATTATAATAATTAAGGTAGTAAATTGTATTCTTTGTAGAGTAATGTGGATAAAAGAATGTTAGATGAATGCCCTTGAAACACAAAATAAATCCAATGTTTGATTTTTTGATGGTGGTGAGAAGAAAAAAAATTGAATATTTATTACAAATTCATTTTGGCTTATCAATTAGAACTAATTCAATAATAGATATTAAAAGTATGGAGGTATATATGATTTTTCATACCAATATTTTCAAACACCATGGAGCTATGTGAAAATTTGGCAGAAGATATTCACAAAATATCATTATTGCAAGGTATTTATGGAGGTACTTAAGAAAGATTTCAAGTCTATATTAGAAACTTTTCTAATATATATATATAAACTTGTTAAATAAAAACCAATCTGAAATTTTATACAAGAAAATTGAGCATGTTATAAAGCTGTTTGGACACCTAATAACTTGCAATAATAATAGATTGGATTTTGGTTTTTATATTAAGTAAGTTATTTTTTAAATTAAATAAATTCTACTCATTAATACAAAATTGTGAAAAATCAAATTGGTATGAATAACCTTAGTTAAATAACAAAGAGACTTTTAAATAATTACTTTAGAATCTATAGTATTGCTATGATGCAACAAGTGATATGCTTTCAAAGCACTATTCTAATAAATTCAAAGATAATATATTTTTTATTTTTGACATTGCAATAAATGATAAATATGGAAGGTGGTGTTAAATTTTAAGATAATTAGTTGATCTATGTAAATAGTAAAAAATTTGAATATTATAAATTAAGAAATCATTTATTATGAAGATTAAAATACTTTTATTGCATAGAATTTTAAAAATTAGATGGTTTGGAACCATTGAAAAATATGACAAGACTTAAAATTATAGAATTTGTAAAAAGAGAAGTTATATATTTTTGACAAGTTTAAAAATCAATGTTGTTGAGACTTTTTTGATCAACTAAAAATGTAGATATTGTTTATAAGAAGTTTTTTAAAAAAAAGGTGAGCATTTTAGACAATTTATGCCATTACAACTTCATAACATATTATATTGCAATGAAAGACAATACCAATTAAATTAGTAAATCTATTATTATAAAAAATATTGTTCTTATATAGAAATAGAATTAACAAAAAATAAATTTGAATGATATTTTACAAACAAATAAATAAATAAATAAATAAATTCTTATATTTTTTTTAATGATATTATGCATCAAATTACAAAAAAGATGCATTACTTGCATAACATACATATAAATATTGTGATCTAAAGTCTAATAATATTTTGATCAATGATATCGAAAAAAAAAAAAAAAAAAAAAAAAAAAAAAAAAACTATTGATAAGTATGTTTGATATGTTATTGTTAATCTCATTGATTTTAGAATATTCGAGATTGAAATTGGAAAAAATTTAGAAAATATAAAAAATAAAAAACCTTATAATATTATTATACATATTGTGTCTAGAATATGAAGCATAACAAAATTACAAATAAGAAATATGCCCTAATATCAACAACAAAATCTCAAATAATATAATTTTAAAAAGTGAGATATATCTCAGAGAAAGACAACATAAAAGAAATGAGAAAGTATGTATATTCAAAAAAAAAAAAATGGAATGACTATTGTCAAAGATTTTAAAGCTACAAACTCTTGAAAGTAGACTAGAAGTAAAAATGGAATTAAAAAAAATGAAAAAGGCTTTATTCTTGCCTTTATATATACTATCTAATAAAGAAATTATGTGGCAATATTCTACAGATCATCCGACATGTATCTAACTTACTAAATATATGTTTAACTTGCAAAGCAAGTTTCTAACATATGAGCCTCATGGCCAACATATACAACAAGTGGCCAACTTGTTGGCCTAGTTTTCAACCTACTGTTCACCTACAAATACTTGAAAAGTCTAACATGTATCTACCTAGCTTTTAAGAAACTACTTTAAAATATATTATCATGTTTATTTATTTTTACTTAATTCTTCTTATGAAATTAAACACTAATGTTAAAACATATGTTTGTAACATTATTCTTTTTTTAAAGATAAGTTTTATAAGAAGCAGTGATTACAAAATGATAAAGTTTAAGATGCGGTAAATTGTATTTCCTACATATTTTGAACTTTATTCTTTTTAAAAATAGGTGATATATCCCTTCAAGGATCAATAATATTTCATACCAAAGTAGAAAGGCCACTTTGATATTTTATCATTATTGAGGACTTTATATATTTTTTTAAATAAAAAATTTATTATACCATTAAAAGTGGTTTTTACGTCCAAAAATATCACTGAAGATCAAAGATTTCTTTGAAGGTTGTGATACCAAATGTAATGTATCTTGCCATTTATTTAAGAAAGAACATGATGTTTTTAAACAAAATTATTTTTAATACATTCTCTTCACTATGAACCATGTTTTTTATTCTGCAATTATATTTCTATTTTTTAACAATGTGCCTAAATTTTCTACAATATTAGCATAATCTTTCTTGACAATGTCAAATCTTTTTCTTTTTCTTTTTCTTTTTTTTGCATATAAAGAATTTAAATTATGTCTCATCAATTCTCATATGTTCCAATTTTGATGAAATAGTTTTTAAAAACTTAGGACTTGTTGTCAAGCCTTGATTTCTTTTCCTCCAACCAAATTTGTGTTCTTGGAGACTTTTAGAGACTTGAAATGTATTAAATTTGTGTTCTTGGAAACTTTGTACTTCACACAAGAACAAAGCCATCCACCAAACAATTCTTTTCTCCTAGCTAATTTAATAATTTACTGCTTAGTTGTTACAAGATATATCAGCAATGCACGACATAATAATACAAAGTGGTTCAGAAATATCTTCACTATGTGAGATCTATTCTGCAGCTAAAGATTACTAAAATTGAACATAGCAAAGGAACGAATAAAAAATTGAAGGTCGTCAGGGCACTGCAATCACTCAACAGATAGGTACTACCAGTGCCTACCAGAATTTTATGTGGAGGTTCCAATTTCTCAAAAGAGTCTGGTCTGCATTAAATTTTATGCAAAACAAACTCCACTTATCTTTTGCCCATTAACGCTCTTTCACTACGACAGCCGAAAGTTGAGACCGGTTTTTATCCAAGCGAAACGGAGCTTGTATCGTCAAGCAATGAGATTCTTTTCAAAGAAAACATCATGGATTGCAAGATCATAAACAGCCTAAAATTTTTAATTAACTTCGTTGAAAGCCTTGGCTTAGGATTGCAGAAATCTTCTCCTCTCAAATTACATCGAATTTTGCAACATCGTACGGAAAGGACACGATTTACTGCAAAGTTCAATTCCCAGAAGTCCAATTTCAGCACATGAGCTAACACAGAACATTAAACTTCTAACAGACTTGAGCAGACGCAACCATTCAAATAATATCAACACAATGTGCACGTCTTACTACTCCGCATGTTTGAAGACAAAATTTACGAAATTAGTTTTAATGAGTTATTTCAAAGCCGAAGCTTACCGAATTCAAACAGACGCAAGTATATTCACATATCTTCCGTGAATAATTCTGCTGTTGCAAACATCAGCGCCATTCCAATTACAGGTTTTTGTATACCTTGACTGGATAGTTAGTCCATCTCCTGCATGCTGAGAATGTAGGGATTTGGAACCTATGCATAAACTTGCACATATTCCAATACTTTGTAGGCATAGAAGACAACATCCCCAGTTCACTGTTTCTTGGTATTTTAAAATGCCATGTCAAGTTACAAGTAAGGAAATACAAGACACCACAGGCAAGGAAGAAGGAAATCATTCAAGAACTGACTTTTTGACTCCAAATATCATAGGAGATGAGGACTTGAAGCTGCGCCCTACCAAGAGAGAATCGGCATTTGTCGATCCAACCTCGCTCAATAGAGGCAGCATCACATGCACACAGAAACGCGCATTAGTAGAAACTTTCATTCTGTCAAATGATTAGAATGAACACAATAAAAAGCTCCTTCAATTGTGAAAACGTGCCTGGTCGCAAAGATCACCAGGAAAGGCCTACCACAGACACTGTGGAGAGAAGCAAGTTCTGGTTCAGGTCACTGAATCAAGTTCTGGTGCAGCTCCTGAGTTCCCATAATTGACCTCAATGCGCATCACACCATCTAATCTTTGAAAGAGCTGTTAACTGTCAAATCGAAAGAAACTGCCAGCCAACTGGACGAGAACTGGGACTCCAATGCACAAACCAAAACTTCGTGGACTAGAACGTGCAAAAAGACTTTTACTTCGTCTCCATAGTCCAAGCACAGAACATGAAGCAATAAAAGCTGTGAGTCTTTTTGGCAGAGGGCTCAGACCTGTGCGTCGAAGGCAAAACGAAAAAATGGCAAGATGCATCAGAAGAATGAGCTGACTGGGAAAAGGAACTCTACCTCTGATTAAGAAACGATAAACAAGGCGCACACAAACCCTCAGAGCCATGAAAGTCATGTGTGGAACTTGCTCTGCTCCAGGTCCCGCTCCTCAAAACCTCCTTCCAAGCGGTCTCATTTGGACCCCACAAACACACACACGATAAACACACACACCTAGCCTCACAGTTCTCCAAAATTTGACCAGGAAAGCCAGGCGAATCGCAAACAACATCACAGATACGTGCACAGTGACGAGCAGCAACAGAGCGCACAGTTAGAGTTGCGCTACAGAGCACACCTTCACCCCATAGCTTGCACTTGGTGCCATGACCTGCATGCATGCATGCATGACTTCCTAGGAGGGGGGGGCGTCTCTGCAGTTGATGCCCGGAACACTTTGTCACACAAATGAGTTTCCGGTTCTCATAGAGTGTACCAGCGAGTGCCTGGAGTGACGGGTATCAAGTACTTAGGGTGTTACAAGGATATTCGTAGCTGTTACACATGTATATACATGTGTATGCAGTTGTGTATGAAGTGGATCATTGTTTGTAGACAATACTAAAATTTGTATCTCTGTCTTTAATTCCGTTACATTTTTGTTTTTGCAATCGCAATTCAATATTACGAATTTTTGTAAAATTCTACAGAGAATGGATTTTTAACTTCTGTGAAGAAAAGGTTAGGCAAAAGTTTCATGTTATTTCAAAAACTTGAATCTGAAGCTTAAATATTTGAATTTAACGTAAGCTTTCATAACTCTTGCAAGCCTAATGTGAAATTTTACTCAATAATAATAATAGTAATAATAATAATAACTTTCAATTTTATTTTAGTTAAAGTTTTATAAAATTATAAATAATAAAAAGAATTAAAGCTTATCAACCACCTCCTTATTTCTAACCTATAGGGTGGGATGTTTTTGTTAGTCTGGCAACCTATTGTCAACTAGGTCTAACATTTGTTGATTGGAAAATAACTCGGAGGTTAGTCAAAATAATGTTAAGCTATGAGTAATAAATAAAATTCATTGTACTTGGCATGGATATATATGAATTATCAATATAGGTGGCAATTGTTGATAGAATGGGATAGAATAATTAGGTTCCATACTTCTTGGTTTGTAAAAGTTGGATTCTCACTTTTATAACCCACCAAGTTGGAATGAGGTTGGTCTATTAGTCATATATGGATCAAAGAGAATCTTCAACTAAAACATTTATACGAATTTTATTTTTCAGCCATATTGTATATAAATACTTAGAATCCTTTTCATTTGTATATTTCTGTATGGAAGTATTTTAATTTAATTTTTACACTCATTGAAAATATGTTGAAATGCTTCAATAATTGGAAATAGGTCATCTATCATACATATATATTTAAAAAAATTGACCAGCCTACATTTGATTGGAGCGTCAAAAAATCCCATTGGCTAGAGCAATATGGTGGTAAAACCTAATTATGGGTTTAACCTAGTTACTACCTACATATCCAGTTATTGAGATGGGATGGGCGGGACTATTGATGAAAGTGGTGTACATTGTTGACATGGTGCCATTTTTTGTTGTGTTTTTTATCACCATAAGGGGCACTCATTAGGTGTTTTTGTTTTGTTTTTGTTGAGAATGTTTAGAAAGATACAAGAACAATAGTAAGTCATACACACAAGAGGATTTCTAAGGAGAGAGCTTCACACACAAAAATCTATTGATTTAATTGTGTCTTGTATACAAGAAGAGAAAAAGAGGAGAGGATAAACAATACTTTTTTACTAGACTCTAAATATTGTAGCTATATTATTTATTATATTCTACAGTAAATATTGTGGAGAGCACCAACTATATTTAATGATCTCAACACTCCTCCTAGCTCATCATAATATTTACATAATATAAAATTTATATATAATTATGATCTATACTTTTCTGTGATCTTGCAAGATCAACAATTGTTGCCTCATTAAAACCTTATCTAGGAAAACCTTATTTTATTTAAGGACAAAACCATACATGAAGGAAAAAGAGTACAACATCATTTTTTTTAATTATTTAAAGAGCTCATTAATTTTCTTATTCAAGAAGAGAAAGTCACCGCATACCAATGTCATAAGTAAGTCGATGATGGTTACTTAATGGAAGAGCTTTGGTGAAGAGATGAGCAAGATTATTTGTAGATTCAATTTTCTTAATTATAAGTGCTTGATTAGTAATCAAGTCGTGGGTATAACTAAAATACTTTAGATCAATATGCTTTGTTTTGTCGCCTTTAATGAAACCAACTTGCATCTGTGCAATACAAGCACTATTATCTTCATGCAAGATAGTTGGAGAATCATCATATGAAAATCCACATGTTGTTTGAATGAATTTATCAATTGATTGCAACCAAATATATTCTCGAGATGCTTCATGTAAGGTAATAATTTTTGCATAGTTGGATGAAGTTGCAGTTATTGTTTGTTTCACTGATTTCTATGATATTGCAGCTCTATGTCTTAAGAATACATATCCTATTTGAGATTTAGCTGTTGCAATATCAGATTTATATCCTGCATCATAATATCCAACCAATTTTGGATCTACTGATTGTGTCTAGTATAATCCCAAGTCTTCAATACCTTTTAAATAACATAATAAATATTTGATGTCATTTCAATGTTGTAGTGTTGGACGTATACTATGTCTTGCAAGGACAGTAACTCCAAATGCAATATCTAATCTTGTAGATGTAGCTAAATACAAAAGTGTTCCAACCGCTGTGAGGTATAGATATTGATCTCCTAATATTTTATCCTTCTCCTTACATAGAAAGTATGAAAAATGACCATCACGACCACGTCCAACCATTGGTGTGGACAATGGATAAGCATCAATCATATTAAATCTTTGCAAGATTTGTTTAATATACGTTAGTTGGTAGAGAAAAATGCTACCATCTGTTAGATGAATAATTTGAAGACCAATGCAGAAAGTTATTTTTCCTAGCATTTTCATATCAAATTCACGTATTAGTAGGTTAGTAGCTGTAACACATGCAGATGTAGTGCCCACTAGATTAAGATCATCAACATATACAATGATGATCACAAAACCAATTTTGTCTCATTTGATAAATAAATAAGGGATTAGTGGATCACTTATAAAATTATTTGTAATTAAATAATCTCAAAGACATTGATACTACATATATTCAGATTGTTTTAAACCATACAAGGCCTTACATAATTTAATACCTGGATATTGTCCTAGAGCGGGTTGATTTGGAGTTCCTGTTTCTAAACCAGGTGGAACTTTCATATAAATATTTGCATCAAGAGAACCATATAGATATGCAGTTACTACATCCATCAGATGCATCTCAAGGGTGGCATGAACTATCATTCCAATAATATATCAAAATGTAATTGAATCCATGACTGAAGAATATGTGAATTCATAATCAATGCCAAATCATTGACTAAATTCTTCAGCAACAAGACGAGCTTTATAATAAGTTATTTGGCCTTGAGCATCTCGCTTGCATATTAATATCATTTTATATCCCATAGGGCAAGATGTAAGAGTGTCTACAATTGGACCAAAGACTTTCTTCTTACGCAAAGAGGCATACTCCTCCTCAATAGCAGTTTTTTATTTTGACCAATCTCAGCGACGCATCGCCTCTTTGATGGTTTGAGATTTAGGATTGTCTTCCTTACGAGAAAGGGCTTCTACAATCATATATACAAATGATTCATCTACCATAATACATGGTCTGTCCTAAATATCATCTGTAGCACAATATAGAATAGATAATTCTTTACCCAACTTATTCTTATTCCTAACAATTCCAAGATTGTTTTTCATAGGAATTGAAGGTACATTATGCATGGATATATCATCATGAAATGGTAATCTTGCAAGATGTGTGGCAATTTCTTGAGAAATAATACCAGGATTAGTGAATTTTATAGCTTTTTTCTCACGTGATTGCTTATCTGGTCCACGAGTTCTTTTAGTTGTTGTTGTTATAACTTGAGGTATTGTAGTCAATGGCACTGCAATCTGAGCAGGTGCATTTTGAGCCTCATTAATAGGAACTCTTGTAATTCTAGGTGCATCATTGAAGCCATCAGGTGTTTCATCTGCGATCCGTTTTAGATGCAAAATCTTAGCAACTTCAGTTTCTCCCAAAGATGTCCTAGGATCGGGATTCATTGTAAATATTTTTGGTGCTTCAAATATGAGTACTTTATTTCTTTGTTGATTGGATACTCTTCCTTGAAGAGATGAGAATACATTTTCTTCAAAACGGCAATTTTACAAATGTGTAGGTAATAATGTGCTAGTTGATGGATGAACAATACGAATAATGCTTGGTGAATCAAAACCAACATATATGCCTTCTTATCAATGAGCTCCAATGGTACGCCATTGAGGTTCTCGTACTGGAATCCAAATTTGGCAACCAAATACTTGCAAGTGAGATTCATTTGGAATACGACTCGAAATGAACTCATGTAATAAAATAATTTCAAGAGAAGAAGGACGGAGGCGTATTAATGCTGTAGCATGTAAAACTGAATGATCTCACATAGATGCAGGTAAATATGTATGAAAGAGGAGTGGCCGGGTAATGAATTGTATATGTTTTATAAATGACTATGCAAGTCCATTTTAAGCATGTTCATATAGAACATAATATGTCAACTCAATTTCTGTTGCAGTACAATAGTCTTCAAAAGACTTTGATGGGAATTCTTTTGCATTATCTATATGCAATATTTTTATAGGATAATCAGGAAAATGTGTCCAAAAGCGAATAAGCATAGATATAAGATTGGCAAACACCATGTTTTGAGTTGATAATAATGAAACATGTGATTGTTTGCCTGATGCATCAACAAGGACCAAAAAATAATGAAATGGTCACGATATTGGATTAATAAGACCACAAATATAACCATGCAATCTTTCAAACAATGGTGGTAATTCTTGTGGTAGTTTCCAAATTGTAGGTCGAGTAATCATTTTACCTTGCATGCATGCACGACATAATTCCATAGAATCTACATCTGCAGGCTTTAAATTGTGTCCAGTTATACATGGAATGATCTTTCTAAATAATGTGGATCTTGGATGTCCCAATTGTCCATGCCAGAGAGAAACTCGACTCTCAGAGATAGATGATGCAAAATTAAATATAATGGGAGGCTGAATCACAATTCGGTATAAACCATTTTTTGTAGCAAAAGCTTTTTCAACAACTTTATGGTTCTTCGCAAGAACCAAAACCTCTTTTCTATTTAAAGTGGCAGTCGAGAGATGATAACCATTAATAC